AGGTGTCCATGCCAGCTGTGCATTGGTGAGGAGCTCTCCAGGGTGGGTTGGCACCAAGGTGATCCATCAGGGCTGGGCTGAGAGCAGCTTGCCAGAGGCTGTGTGCATCAGGGGACATTTATTGCACTATATATATCTATAATATTAGGGATTTATACTGGAGATCTGAGGAGCTCTTTACCAGGAGATATATATCCGGGTGGATGCATCAGACATAGGTTGGAGATCCCAGGTGATGTTTCTAGGCACAGAGGTAATATCTGTGGGTGATGTACATCGAGGGACATTCATCAGATGGATGTTGAAAGTCTGAGGGGCTCACTAGAGGTGTTATATATGGAGAGATCTGGTGAATTTTCTCTCTTGTATTCCATTTTTTTTTTGCAGTCAAACACAAAACACCCCAATGTGGGTGGCTGTGCTGGTCCTTGCTCAGCCCATCTTTGTTTTTCCACTGGAACTGCTGAGGTGGGCCCAGAAATCCCAGTCCCATAAAGGGCAGATTCTTGGCAGATGCAAAATCACCTTTAGCATATGGATGGACTTTTCCTTATTAATTAGTGTCTGGGAGCTCCCCCATTTGGGAGGTGGTGGCTGTTCCCCTGTTCACTCTGTGTGAGCCCAAGTATAAAAACACCTCTATTATAAAAGGTGTTTTTAACATAAAAATATTATAATTAACCAGGGAAATGCCAAATATTATATAACATATAACATATAATATAGTATATACTATATACTATATACTGTATACCATATACGATATACGATATACGATATACGATATATGATATGTTATATGTTATATGCTATATGCTATATGTTATATGTTATATATTATATATTATATATTATATATTATGTATATGTTATATATTTATAATAAATATATTATAATTTACAAATATTATAATTTTATTATAATTAGCCAGGGAAATATAAATTATAATATTATAATTGACCGGGGAAATGCCAACTACCAGCATGAAATGGGGACACAGCCAGCCGCCAGCGCTGTTTCATTCCTTTTTTTCCTTTTTTCTCCTTTTCAGACCTGGATTGCAGCAGTAACCCTCAGAGTGATCCCGTGAGGAGCTTTCAGCACCCACCAGGAGTGGAAGAGGAGGGGACAGGATCACCTTGGCCTCCATCCCCTGTGCCCAGACCAAGGAGGAGCTCGCCTTTGTTTGCTGGACACGTCTCGGTTCGACCTCTAAAATTCTGATTTTTGTCCTTTTTTGGAGATGTTCAAACCTGCTGGGGAAAATCCCTGACCTAGCTCGACCTGCTCTCATCTCCAGGAGATATTCCCACCTATGTTTTTTTTGATTTCTCCTATTTTCCCCATCATCCTCCAGAAAAAAAAAAAGCATTAAGAAAGACTTGCCATCCATGGCTCCACGTTCAATGCACTTTCCTAGTGCAGACCTTCATCCTTTGCTTAATATTTCACTTTCTTATTTTATAATTTCTCTCAAAATATTTCATTTTTGCTTCCCCAGGTTGTGATCCCCACCCAGTTTTCAGGGCAGTGGGAGGACACTTCCAGGGCAGTGGCTCCCTGAGCACCCCCTAACAGTAAGGCTGCTTTGCTTTATATTATTTAAGCAATTATATGTATTAATTGTGCAATTATGCATATCAATTGAGGAGGATGTGGTGAATCATGACCTTGGTGTGGTTTGTTTGGAGGAATTTCTGCTGTTTTCTGTTGATATAATTTAAATTGTATCAACCCTTCCCTAAATGCTGTGAGCATTTCAGAGCAGAAACACTTATTTTTTAAAAATAAATCAGTCTGTGCAGGGAGTCTTGTTTTAAAGCTCAAGTGTAGATAACATATTGTTAAGAGCCCTACAAGGCATAAGCAGCCTGGAGGAAAACACAGATATATTTTTGTGAAAATACTCTGAAATATAGGTTGTTGTCACTGCAAAATTTTGGCACAGCCGGCAGTAGGGCGCAAAGAAATGGCCACCAACTAAAAATAAATGAAATGCAGAGCTTAAAATAAGATGTACAAGGGTTTCACAGTCCTTTAGTCAACCCTGATCACTAAAATTAGGGCTTGACAGAGTGACAAATGTGCTTGATCCCTGCCAAAACCAGGGCACCAGCAGGTGACACAGAAAATAAAACCCTGCTGGCTACAACTTCACTCCTGTAGGAGCAAAGAGAAATCTTTGGTCACTGAAAATGGGAGTGGCCCCTTCAATTTGGGTAAGTATTCTGCAAAAGTGCCTGGTTTCACTTTAAAGTGGTTATATTCAGGTGGGGGCTTCTCAGGGAAAAACCCAAACTCTTCATTTGGTCCATGGCCCAGCAGAGCATCTTTTATTTGAGTCTTTTCTTTTGAGTCTTGCCTCCTCTGAAAGTAAAGTAAGAAGTAAAGGAAGTAAAAAGTAAGAAGTAAAGTAAGAAGTCCCCTCCCCTTTTAGTAAGAAGCAGCCAGCAGGGGCAGGATTGTTCCCCCTAGGCTGCCCTTTGTTTCTTGCTGGTGTCCCTGCCTCAGCCCAAAAACCCCACATGATGAAGGAAGTGATGAAAATCTCCTCAGCCTGATTTCACCCCTTTCTGATAAAGGCACAGGTTGGATTCATGTTGAAATTACTTTTCTACTGAGTGTGGGGGGGATTGGGGTCACCACAATGACACTTTTTGGGGGGATCCTCCCTGCTTGGTGCCCTCCTTCCAATCTGTATTTCAAAGGGAGTGAAAGTGGTGCCTTGGAGTGGTTGCCTAGAACAGAGGCCAGACAGTTAAGAGAATAAAGTGGGAATTTATGAAAGGCCTTTAACAGACACACCTTGGGCAGTCAGAGCCTCCCAGGATGGACAGTGGGCACGAGTTTTTCAGGCAGATTTAAGTTTGGTCCATTGTCTGGGTTTGGAAAGACAGGAGCCTGCTAAGGAAGGCAGGAGCCTCCCTTGGAATGGAGAATGCAAACCCTCCCCACCCCTCTCAATTGCTTTAAATTTTAAATTAAGGGGCTCTCAGGCAAAAATATGGGAGCAGGAAATAACAGTTCTTTAATAGGGAAGAAAATAAAAGGATAAAATAATCAATGCAGTAAACCAAAACAACACTGCCAGAGTCAGAACCCAACCTGACACCCTGTGGGTCAGGGTGTTGGCAGCAGTGCCATTGGAATTGTGGCTCAGCCCTCCTGCAGTGTCAGGGCTGGTTCTGCTGGAGCAGGGATCCTGGAGAAAGGTGCAGTCTCTGCCTCTGGAGATCCAGGGGCAGAGGCAGCTGCTGTTCCTCTGGGGAATCCAGTGCAGAAGCCGTGCTGGTGTTCCAGAGTCTCAGATTATATCCAGGCAGGAATGCTTGGCTCCTCCCTCTGGGCTGACATCTCCCAATGGGATGCTGCAGTTCTTATCAGCCATGCAGTGACATTCAATAGCTGTTATCAGCAGGTGTCTCCCCGGAGGGAGGTGTGATTGTGATCACTCAGAGGGAGATAAGGCAAACTGCCCACTTGATAAAAGACAACTGCCATACAGATGGTAATAGAAAACATCTTGCATTGCAATCTGGAACATCCATTTACATATCAGGGGTTAATTCTTCAATTACAGGGTCAGCTAATGAAGTCTCATTCCCCCAGTTTGCTCCTCCCCAATTCACCTTTATTTATTCTTTTCTGGTCCTGAATCTGTTGGATGTCCTTGGGTTCCAGGCCCAGTTTTGTCTGACCAAGATGTGAAGACAGGAGCTGACGCTTCATATGGAGTTAGTTATGCACTAATGCAGCACAGGATTGGGAAAATATAAAGGCTAAAATCTGAAGGCATCAGAAGTACTCAGTGCCCTGCCATGTGTTTTGTGTGGGTTGGGTTGCTCTCTTTGGAGGAGCTGTGGCTGTGGAGGACACAAAGTGCTGGAAGCTTCTCCAGCAAGGAGACCAAACCAGAGCTGCTCAGCAAATTGTGCCAACAGGGTGCAGACACCTTCCTGGAAAGGCACAGGAGGATGTGATGGTGGTGGGTGTCCATTAAATGACCTTCTGGAACACTGGGCTGGCATCACTCTAAGTGGTTAATGATAGAAATTACCTGAAGGCTTCTGAGAAACAACTTTGTTTCTCTTGGCTTTCCCCGCTGTGTGTTAGAGCCCTCAGTTTCCAGGCACCAAACTCATTCAGCTTTCCTTCTCCTGAAGCCCCAATGACCACAAGATCCACCTCTGAGACCAGGCCATACCTTTTGTCATTGTGCAAAAACAGTTGTGGAAAAAAAAATTAACATGTCTGTCTCACACCATGAACACTTTCCAGTCCTTTTTTGATCCAAATTTCCTCATCCTGTTGAGTTCAGACTAAGCTGAGATTTACTCCCATTTGGAGTAAATGGAGAAGACAGTCTTATTAAGCATTACTAAAGGAGTTTGAAACCCATTGTAATTCCTTATAAATCACCATATCATATTTCAAACTTCTCTTTCATCATTGAGGCTGGAAATATGGCCCAAAAATTGCTTTCAAATGGGCAAATGAGAAATGTTTCAATTGTGGTGATTAATCAAGGTGTTCCCATCTCAGGCTTTAGTGCCTTGGCTCGGGGTTTGGACAGGGACAGCTCGCTGTAAATGCCAGAAAGCCTGACTTGCCTCAAGGGAAACCTTATTTTTGTTTTCTGGTCAGCAGAGTCATTTTTCATAGGGAATTTTACATTTTACATTGGAAATTTAGGGGGAAGGCAAGACCAGAGGAGCCAGAGAGCTGCAAGAGAGGGATGTGAAATGAAAACTCAGTGAGTCAAGAATTCTGGTTTATCTGCCTTATGAGGCTCCAGAGGGAGTTTTTCCCTCTCCCAGGGGGAAAATTTCCAAGTGTGATAGCAGGATACAGCCAGAAATGAGGCAGATTTAAGGGAGGGTTTTATTTGGTGTACTGTGGTATTGCTGCTTTCCTGACTTTCCCTTTGCATGCTGCACTCACACCTCACCTGTGTTTCTGCAGCTGGGTTCACTCTGCTGTTCTTAGCAAGTCCACCAAAAACCAGGTGTCTGTCCATGTTTACTCATGGAGGTTTTGGGAGATTTGCATAAAAATGGTGAGATTTGACTTGCATAACAAATACCCCAAGAAGGCATTAAATTGAAATCTAAAAATAGGGGAAATTGCAGTGTTGATTATGGGGTGTCCATGGACTGCAGCAACATTTACAAACAGTCCTTGGTTTGTGGTGGGATCTGTGCCAGAATTGTTGGCAGTGTTGAGGTTGCAGGTGGGTCTTGCACTGGCATTGGTCTGTTTTGCCCTTTGTGATATTTGTAGTGGCAGAGAAATTGATTGTTTTTATTTAATAACAGTACTCCCCAAGTTAGTGCCCCCTCCCCAAGTCTCCAAATCTCCATGCAGCTCACTTGCTTCCCTTCTCCTGCCCCCCTGTCGAGAAAAGATTGGAGGCACAAAAGGCAAAGATGAGTTGGGATAAGAACAATTTACTGGAAACAGCAATGAGATAAGAAAATGAACTTGTAACACCAGCAATGCAAATAACAAAAATGCACAAAAGAGAGCACAGAGCTTAACCTGACCACAGCCATGCCCCCAAAGAGCTCCCTCTGGTCAGAATCAGCATTACCACATTGACCTGTCCTCCATGCTTGCTCCAGGAGAATGGATTCCCTTCTTCTCAGAAGGGAGAGCCCTTTTCCCCTGCCTCTGGCAATGGTAGCAAATAAATATTGCTATTACTATTACTATTACTATTACTATTACTATTACCATTACCATTACCATTACCATTACCATTACTAATAGGGTCTGGTCAAGCCTCCCTCCAAGCTTTTGTGAAAATTCACTCTGTCCCAGTTGAAACCAGGACACTGGTGAAGGACTGCTGGTATCAGTTTGGAATGGCAAAAACTTCAATAATGGTTTCATTTTTGCAGAGCAAGACAGTTTTTGAGGGTGTTTCTTCTCAGCTACTCAAGCAACAGAGCTGATGTCACCTTTGGTCTTGGGACAGAAGTTTGTAGAATTCACAAATATTGCAAATATTGTGAGGGGGAGAGGAGGGGCAACAAGCAGTGGCACAACTGAAAGGAATGGTCTGAGGTTGTGTCAGGGTAGGTTTAGGTTGGGTATTAGAGAAAGGTGCCTGGGCACAGGAGCAGGCTCCCAGGGCATGGCCCAAGGCCAGCAGAGCTCAGAAAGCTTTGGACAATCCTCTCAGGTGTGTGGTGTGACTCTTGGGCATGGTCCTGAGCAGGGCCAGGAGCTGCAGTCGAGGATCCTTGTGGCTCCTCTCCAGCTCAGATCTCTCTGTGTTTCTGTGACCTTCTCATTGCCACTGTGGGGTTGGGATTTGGTGTTTGCAGATGGAAATGTGGCTGCTTGTGGTTCCTGACTCATCACTCTCCATGAGGTGGAGAATGAAGAGCACAAGCCAAGGTTTGAAAGCACAGGACAAGACTTCAGACTTTGGACATTAATTGTTCTCAGTTAGTTTGACATTGTTCTCAACTGTTAAAACATTCATCTGCTGCCTATTTTTTACATGGCAACCAGTTTTGGTTTTTTTTTTAGACATTTCATGCCCAGCAAGAGGAAGTTTCAACATTTTTGG